AGTCTGTTGTTTCATGTCCAGTTCGAACTGTTGCTCCCTGACCTGCATACAGATTTCTCAAGAGGCAGGTCAAGTGGTCTAGGATTCCCATCTCTTTAAGAATGTTCCACAGTTTGTTGCGATCCACACAGTCAAAGGCTTTGGCATAGTCAACAAAGCAGAAGTAGATGTTTTTCCAGAACTCTCTTGCTTTTTCCCAGTTCAGTTGCTATCAATAAAGGACTTGGAATCCTGCCCCTGACGCCTCCTCCATCCCTGCAGGCAGGATGTGGTGCACAGTTGATACTCAGAAGGGTACCTGATCTTACATACAAGAGACCATCATTTCTTTACTGGGTATCCAGTAATTGGTCATGCACAGTTAGTGGCAGAAATGACTGGTTGTTTCCAACAAATGTTTTCCCTTTTTTCCTTCAATAATAATATAATTCTTAGCCAGATGTATGGCTGTCCAGAATAAATATTTCATTTTCCAGATCTTTTGCATCTAATTGTAGTCATATAATTAAATTTTGGCCAATAAAATGTGCACACAGTCATAATACACAATTTCTATGTTATTCCTTTAAAGGGGGATGCCATCCTCTTGACCCTTTCCTGCTCCTGCTTTCTGGAATACAGATGTTGTGGACGGCCATCATGGACCATGTGGATAGTTCATGTGCCATGACCATATGTACAACAAGACAGAAGGAAGCTGAGTTCCTGTCCTACGGAGCTGCCATACTAGCCCTGAGCTTCCTTGCCATAGTGGTAGTCCATGAGAGAGGACAGGAATACATCTCTATCTCTTGAAGTTACTGTTGTTTTAGGTCACAAGTAGAGTAATTGGACTTATAACTAATATTCACATGTATAAATGATTGATTTAATTGATTAATTTTTATGAGTGCCACATGTAAGTGAGGCTCAGACATTTCATTCATCTGTCCATCCATCCATCCACACAGTATTTACTCTGATCACTGTGGCCAGGCATTAGAGGACACAGTGGTGAATGAATCCCTGGCATGTCACAGATGACTCTTCACAATCTGCCTCTGACCTTCCTTTCCAGCTGGCAGTCCTACAGGGTATCCTGCTGTTTCAAACATCCGGGCATTTGTATGTGTACTTTCTCTAACATGGACTGCCTCTTCTCCCAGCAAACTCCTACCTCATTCCTCAGGACAAACACCAGCCCCTGTGAAAGCCTCCCACGACCTTCTGCATCCTGCCCAAGGGAGGACTGACTGGCCCTCTGTGTGTGCACCTACAGCACTTCGTGTGTCCAGACTGTAAGGTTTTGTGTGGAGCAGAGGAAAGGAACACCTGGATTTGAACCCTAGTCCTTCCCCTACTGACAGTGAGATCAAGCAAGTTATTTAATTTTGTTCATGTTCATTTTTCTGATCTGAAAAAAGAAGTATAAACAGAATTTACTTCCTGGGTTGCTGAGGAGTTAAATGACATAACCCACACAGGCCTGAGAGCCCAGAATTAGACACAAAGTAAAATCTCAGTAGGGTGTGTCTGCTGAGCTGCCATCATCCACATGCCTGGATTTCCCACTATCCTGGAAGTCTCCTGAGGGCAGGGACAGCAACTCAGCATCTTATTGGCACCCAGTACTTAGCACAACACTGTTGGCACACCAATGGATGCTTTTCGAATGCACCCAACAAGTGAATCAATGAAGGATACTTTTCTGGGCTAAAAGAAATTCAAGTGGAACATATTATTTGGCATTTCCTAGATGTGCCAGGGCTGGGTAGGTAGTAAACTTCCAAAGACAGCATAAGTGAAGAACTCAATGTCATTTTAATAAACCTATATGTGGGCTCAAAAGTCTTGCCACAGGGGGAGGGGTGAGGGTGATGCGGATGGAGCTGGCCACAGGTATCACGGGAGGGAAGGGCCTGCATCCGAGAAGGACAGCTTCTAGGGAGGCCAGCAGGTACTCCCACACAGTGCCCTTTAGCCTCTGTTCTGCGAACTTCTCTAGGGCACAGTGCACTCTTTACTATTTTAGAAAACGTGTGAAGTGTCAGGAAGGCAGTCAGAAGTTGGGTGGCATCTGTAGGTGTTTCATGAATTTAGGGAACTTTCGTCACTCCTTGGACAGCAACTCAGCATCTTATTGGCACCCAGTACTTAGCGCAACACCGTTGGCACACCAATGGATGCTTTTCGAATGCACCCAACAAATGAATCAATGAAGGATAGTTTCCTGGGCTAAAAGAAATTCAAGTGGAACATATTATTTGGCATTTCCTAGATGTGCCAGGGCTGGGTAGGTAGTAGACTTCCAAAGACAGCATAAGTGAAGAACTCAATGTCATTTTAATAAACCTACATGTGGGCTCAAAAGCCTTGCCACAAGGGGAGGGGTGAGGGTGATGCGGATGGAGCTGGCCACAGGTATCAGGGGAGGGAAGGGCCTGCATCCGAGAAGGACAGCTTCAAGGGAGGCCAGCAGGTACTCCCACACAGTGCCCTTTAGCCTCTGTTCTGCGAACTTCTCTAGGGTACAGTGCACTCTTTGCTATTTTAGAAAACGTGTGAAGTGTCAGGAAGGCAGTCAGAAGTTGGGTGGCATCTGTAGGTGTTTCATGAATTTAGGGAACTTTCGTCACTCCTTATCAGAATGGAAGCATCTGCTACACAGTCTCCATGTGACACCTCATTTACCCAGCGGGCCTCGAACCCCTCAGAGAGGTGAAGTAACCTTCACAGAGAAAAGAACGGAAAGCAGGACTCCAGTCTGAACTGCAGAGTCTCTTCCTGTCTGCCTGTCCTTCCTACTGCCACCTGGCGAGTCACCCTTGACAAAGCCACGAAAGTGTCCTAGTTCTCATCACTGTGATTCCCTCTTCTTTTTAAAACACTAATTCCCGGGAGGCAGAGATCACAGGCCAAGTTCTAACAGTACTTCCTCTTCAAAGGAGGTCTTGAACAGAATCTTGGTTTGTATAGATACAATCAAATGACCGTGACACTGGATCGAGCCCTAACTTGTGACTGGAAACCTGCCCCACTCTCTGTCGGCATTGTCCCCCTGTCCCCCGCTGCAGGGATGACCTACTGACTCACACGCTGTTAGAAAGTTGGACATCTTCTTTTTTCTTTAAGAAAAATGGAAACTCAGATGGCTATATCTTTTTTTTTTTTATTTGGGGAAAAAAACCCAATGCTTGCTATGGCTGTTATAATCTTCCAGGATGTCTGTACTTATTTTAGGCTTTAACTTTCAGTGGGTAACAGTTACTGCATACTTCCAATATGCCAGGCTAAATGCTTTTCATAAAAAATGTAAAACATCCTCCCAATAATCCTATGAAGCTAGAGCTAGCACGGCCTTCCATTTTCAAGATCTGGAAAGTACAGCCCAGAAAGGTGAGCTAACTCACTGAAGACCACACAGGCTGATTAGTTGTAAAACTAGTATTTGAACCTTGGCTCCTGCCACAGAGCTCATTTTCCTAGCTGTCATGCTCAGCTGCGTGATTTAAAAAAAAACAAAACTGTCTGGCAGAGCTCACAAAAGGCTTCATCAGGAAAGGTACATTTTTCCTGGGCTTTGAAGGATGTGCAGAAGTTTTCCAAGTCAAGGGGTTGAGAAGGATGCTAGGGAAAGGGAAGGGAAAGTTATTATTTCTCTTTCTCTCTGCAGATGACTAGAACTATTTTACTGTGAGACAGATTTTTTTATTTCAGTGACACCTCAGGATCCCCATCAAGGCAGAGAGGGATTTGCCCAAATTGAAGAGAGAATCCTGACTGCTTACATGCTAAGGAAAATGGGATATGTCTGCAGAGTCCGAAATCCTATCTCTGTGGCCTGTCTGCTTCAGATGAAATGTCTCTGGTGATGGGTGTAAATCACTGACTGCTACTTTAGAATTTCTCTGGCTGCTGCAGAAATAGTTAAAGTGTATTTGTCTTGCCTGCTCAAGTGTTGGTTTGCTGCAGCCTCTCTGCCTTAATCCTGTAAAGCTGGAGACTTTCTCCATTTCATTTTCTAAACAGTCCTGCAGTGTCAGTGAGAAGGATGAATTGTAAACAGAAAGAGAGCAAGGGCAGTGTGACCAGAAAGGCGGTGTCACAGCAGGTGAAGCTGGAGAGGGAAATTCAACTAGTCAGCAGTAGTGGGAACAGGATGGGGAAAAAAAAGGTGAAGGAAATACTCTGGGTATAGCATGTGATGATCGGCAGGTTAAGAGAAAGGAGGCATAAAGGTGGTCTCTGGGAGGGGAGAGAAAACAGGAGGATGACAGTCTAACAAAGAAGAAAATAACTTGATTTCAACCTTCAGTGGAGCAGGGCAGGTGGTACAGTGAAGGGGTTAGAAGTCTGGGTCTGAAGTCAGACTGTACCAGCTGAACTCATGGCTCTGCCACTTACAGTGTTACCTTGAGAAAGCTGTGTGTCCTTGAGTTAACGAATTAACCTCTCTGTGTCTGCGTTTTCTCATCTGTAAAGTGAAAATAATAATAATGGCTACCTCAGAGGATTGTTTTAAGGATAAATAGAATACTTAATGCATGTAAGGCACTTGGATGATACTCAGAAAAAGTTAGCTAATAATATTATTGATAAAAATAATTTCTAAATTTAATTAGAGCTAAAACTTCAAGACTATTTAGCATGTGCCAGGCATTGTTCCAAAGAGGTGTACATGTTATTTAGTGGAACTAATAAAAGAATCCTATGAGAAACACAAGAATCCTATAAGACAAGTATTATTTTTTACTTGTTTTATTGATCAGGAAACTGAGGCATAGACAGGTTACTTAGGTGGCCCAAGGACACACAGCTAGTTAGTGGCAAAACAAGGATTCAAACCCAGGCACCCTGGCTCCTACACCTGTGCTGTTTTTTACCTCTGTACATTTTTTCCCCAAGCTATTAACAGTGCTTCAGGAACATCTGTGTGAAGATGCTAATAGGAAGTTAGAAATTAAATCTGGACACTCAGCAGTGAGGTCAGAGCTTGAAGCAGTGGCAGGGATTGGTATAGATGGTTTAGTTCAAACTGTGGGGTGGGATTTTCACCTGTGGAGAAAAGAAAGCATTGCTCCCTGAAAGCTGGGGGATACTTATACAAGGAGGAAGACGATCCAGTGACAGACATGGAGGTGTAGTAGAAATGATGCAGGAGAGAGCAGGTAAAATAAAGAAAATGCTCAAGAAGATATGATTGTTCTTATGGAGAGGTCAAAACAAATGAGTGGCTACTGGATTAAACAGTCAGGACATCTGTGGAACTTTCTGGAAAGTACTTTCACTAAACCATACAGGTTGAAAATGGGTACTTGTTAAAGAAAGTGAACTGTTAGCTTTTCTGGAGTTTTCCAAGGACAAAAAGAGAGGGCGGCAGGTAGATGAGGTGAGCAAGGCGAGGCAGGGCTGCTCTGCAGGTATGTGGGAGAAGCGGTCTGTTTATGGGCTGCACAACCAGGGGGCCATTTCTCTTCAAAGTGCACATGTTTTAATCCTCTCGTGACTTTGCCCAAGATTATTCCACCCTGATTTCTAGTTGGGGAACATGACTGCATTGCATAGTGAAATGTGTTCTGTTCCATTTATAAAGAAGGCTTGGCAAATAGATGATTAGTTGCTTGGTGAGGAATGGAAGTTGCTCTGTCTTATCATGTTGTTGTCTGGAGGAGGAGTGACTGATAATAATTGGGGGGAAATTCTGTTTTTATTATGGCCTGAGGCTGTGATCACATTAAAGCTAAATACTCTTATGTGTCGTTTTAAAACTTCACTTGTTGTGAGATCTGAAGCCGTTTGTAGGGGACCTCTAGATGGAAGAGAATGCACATTACAAAATTTAATGGGTTTTAAAATAATTTTACACAAAACAGAGACCAATGTTCATTGCATCACCGAGCTTTGCATTTGAATATTACAATAACATTATGCTGAAACACTTCCAATTAAATACTGATTGTGAAACGCTGTTACAATTGCTTGATGCTATGTGTATTCAGTTAAAAAAGCCAAATGTAGAACTGTATGTGCACAATGAAATAAAATCTCAATATATCAGACAAAGGAAAACAGTAGCTAGGTTATGATGACAGACTTTTTTCTTTTCTTTTTTCCCCAAATGTGTCTTTGGGTTATAAAACACAGTTAAATTTCCTTTAGAAGGAGATAACATGAACTGTCACTGCTTTTATTTTAAAATTTCCACTGTTCATAGTTTTGGGGATTTTTGAAGGCTGGAGTTCTTACTCTGGGTTCATGATGCCCTGAAATCATAAAGGCATGGCTGTGTGCACACCGGATGGTTCTGCTTTCATCAGCTCTCAAAGGGGCCCATGACCTCACAGTGGATGAGAACTCACAGATGACAAGCAGTTAGAGCAGCCTCCATATTCCAGTCCTGACACCCGTCTGCAATGAGCTCATGCGCCCCGTCCCTCCTCTGGGTTCGTCCTCCCTTGTGAAATTGTAAGTCCAAATGGGCGACCTGCCTCCCATTCCCCACCACTGTGGTGGCCCCACCCAAATGGCTATGGTGCAACACACATCTGACTTCCAATGATCTTTCTGTTTGTAGACATCCTTACAGTGTGAAAACAGACCCACTGATACAGCGCATTTAGTTCTTTATCAAGGGCTCATTGTTGGAATGAAGTGCCACTGACAGAGTCTTGAACTTACAGCTCCACTTGCTTTCCTCTGCCTCCTTCACAAACATTCACAGAGACCCCACTCCTAGAAGTCTGTGAGCAGCATGATTGAGCACTGCTGGGAATTTGGATTTGAACCCCAATTTGCCCTTATGTGCTGTGTGGTCACAGACTTGGTCTTCTTGTATGTAACACATGGATGCCACTATCCACTTTATGTGACTTGTCATGGGGATTAAATGAGAAGCAGATGCCAGCAAGCATACAGATGCTTGGCACATTTTAGCTTCCTTCCCTGTATGTGATTTCCTTGCATTTTCACATACTCGCTAATCAGTAGGTTTGAGCACCTATTATGTATGAGACACTGTACTAGGTGCCAAGGATATGAAGGGATCAAAAATGGTCTTTGTGGTGTCATAGGTTATTTGAGACACCACCTTTAAAAATAGCATGTGCTAAGTGCTAAAGGGATTGTAAGTGTGTCAGTTTTTTTATTTACAGATGTATTCAGTCTTTCAAAAACTTGTTGAGCACTCATGATGATGTGCTAAGTCCTATTTGGGGCCACTGATGATTTTACTGAGAACAAGAGAGACAAAGTATCTGTTGTCATCAGGCTCTTGATGTGGCACAGGGAGGCTGGCCAGAGACCAGGTGGTGGTTATACATCTTGGGTGCTTTTGGTTGTTGGTAAACACTACAGAGAAAACACAAGTGAGAGATCTGACAGAGTGCAGCCGAGTGGGAAGCTAATCCAGGTAAGGTAACCAGAAAAGACCTCTGCAAGGAAGCACAGACCCCTTCAGAGGTCAGTGGGTACTTGTTTTAGATTAAAAGAGTATCTTGGGCAAAGCCCCTGAGATGGGTATGAGCTTGGTACCTTTCAGCAACAGACAGTCTGGTGTGTCTGGAAGACGCTAAAGTCAGGAAGGAGTGTGAACCATCACTGTTGTGGATGGAATTAGCATGAACCAACTGACCTATTACATGGGGAAGAGAAAAAGGACGCTCTACCATGAACTGACTTTTGAATTTCAATACAGCATATCTGGGCAAAGACTAAAAGCATTCATAGATGAAAAGACTGGTTTGATCATAAATGACTGCTCCAATCCTGATGTTCCCACACCTGTAGCCTGACATCATTGGGGTCTGAGTGGGTGCAGCAGGTAGTATTGGTGGGTAGTCAACACCCTGACTGAACTTGGTAAGAAAACAGTCAAAATTTTGGTGGTGAATTTTCAACAACTCAGTTGCTTGAATGTGATCAAATCAAATTTTCTTTATAATATTTTTCAAAAAAGTTCAATGTGGACTAAAAAAAAGAATTTCTAAGAGTAGTATATATAAATGAAGCATATTTAAAGCAACCTACAAAGACATAAAAGAAGAAAGAATATCCTATGACTGCAGTATAGCTAGAACTTACAAAAGATCCTAACACAAAATATGGGGGTTTGTATTGCATTCAACATAGTACTTTTTTCTCCTTTCTCAAAGGCCATTAGCCAATAACCTTTACCCTCCTAAACACTGAAATTAGAGTCTGGCATTATCTGGGTCTATAGACTGTGGTCAGACACTTCAAAATGCAACCTGAGTTTTCATATTTGGTTCATTTTCTGACATTTTCAGAAGATGGGAGAAAATTACAGTATAAGAGAGGGAAAAAAAGGTTGGAAAGCAAAAAAGCTTTCTGTTTTTCATGAGTAGAAGAAATAAACAAATACCCACTCCACACTTGGATATAGCTTTGATTCTGTTGGTAATTTGGATAGGAATGAACTTTGTCTATTTAGAAACCCATGAAAGACAGAGAAGCTAAATTCCATTAACAACTTGGCATCTCAGTGCTCCGCTTCAGCTGATAAAACCATGTGTTCTACACGGATTGTGCTCATAATCTTATTACCTGTTAACAGGATTTGTGCTTGGAACTCCCAGGGACCCCTTCACCAACTTGCTCACATGCCCATTGTCAAATGCATTTTGATAACAGTTCGTTCAGACAGAATATAAGACTCTAACCTGCTTAAGAAGGCTTTAGATACCTTCCAGAAACATTCCTCAACTTGTAATTTAGAAATTCTGTGTTAACATGTATAAGCAACCAGACACAAGTCAGGATTTAGAAGCAGCCAGTTAAACCACCTGAACTTAATGATATTCCTAGAATCAAATCCCTTCTGTCTTGTTGAGAAATGACATGGCACAGATTGCACCACTCATGAACCTACTTCTGGGGAAAAGATGGATGAGTCACTGGGCACGTGAGTCATATACAATAAAGGAGGGGGTTGCATTGCAAGAGATGTCATTTTCAAGAAGGAAATAGGCTAGAGAAATGTATGAAAGTGAAAGCTGCTCACCTGTGTCCGACTCTTTGCTACCCCATGGACTATACATACAGTCGATGGAATTCTCCAGGTCAGAACATTGGAGTGGGTAGCCTTTCCCTTCTCCAGTTGATCTTCCCTAACCCAGGGATTGAACCAGGTCTCCCACATTGCAGGTGGATTCTTTGAACTAGCTGAGACACAAGGGAAACCCAAGAATACTGGAGTGGGTAGCCTATTCCTTCTCCAGCAAAGCTCTGCAACCCAAGAATTGAACTGGGCTCTCCTGCCTTGCAGGCAGATTCTTTACCAACTTGAGCTACCAGGGAAACCCGTTAGAGAAATGGATGGTGGTAATTTAGTCCTCATGCGGCACAAGCAATGGGTAGCTTACTTGACAGATCAAGGTCAACAGTGAAACTCAAGTCAGTGTTGACTGAGATCTGAGTCTCGTCACTCAGGCGCCTCTAGCATGACTTGAGCTCTCGCATCCCAAGCTGAACTAATTTCATCCCTGTACAGACTGTTGGCCCCATCAGGTCTTATCAGTCCCTTCCTGCAGACTTCTGACTTGGAAACCTTCATTCTTGCCCTGAGGGCTTTCTTCAGATGCAGAGGAGGCCACTCTACTTAGCACCTGGCAGGCCAGGAGGACTGTGGAATTAACACCCCCAAGTTGAGGAGCAGCCCTCAACCAGTCACTGATGGGAACTGGTGCATAAACACCCCAGCTCCCACATTACTCTCTCTAAAGCCTTAGTTTTAAAAACTGTTTTCCAGTGTTTCCTAGTGGGATTGCACGTTAGGCATCCATGGAAGTAAATGGCTAGATGATCACCCATTATTGGTTGCTTTTCTTTTCCTGTCTTATTTCTTCACTTTCCTAATGTGAATTAGATTCCTGCACCTTCAAAATAAACCAAATTCCCTTGAAATTCTTGCCTGCATCAACATGGAGATGGAGACCAAGAATAAAAGACCACTTCCACACCCTGATTCAATCAAGCTACTGAAAAGCATCCTTCACCTATTTTTCCCAAGTGAAACACCTGAATTAAGTAGAGAAGCCTTGTGTTCCTAATTTTGGCTTAGTATTTGCATTGCTCTTTCTCTTTAGCCCTGGTCCTTGCTTCCTGTTGCAAGAGTCCTCTTTATACAGGGTGCAGATATGGGTTTATATCCATGCAAGGCAGCAGGAGCAGCAACAGTCACTTCTAAGTTTGCTTGCTTTAACTAAATATTATCTTTAGAAAGTCCTTTTTCAAATCACAGATGCCATACTCTTTATGCCTTTCCTAAAGTTACTTAAAGTGTATAGTTTGTGCATGTGTATGTGTTTGTGTGTGTTTATCTGTACTTGTGACTAGGGTTTTCGGTTTGCCAACTGAAACAACTGTTGCAGTTCAGTTCAGTTGCTCAGTTCAGTTGCTCAGTCGTGTCTGATTCTTTGTGACCCCCATGGACTGCAGCACACCATGCTTCCCTGTCCACCACCAACTCCTGGAGTTTGCTCAAACTCATGTTCATCGAGTCAGTGATGCCATCCACTCATCTCATCCTCTGTCGTCCCCTTCTCCTGCCTTCAATCTCTCCCAGCATAAGGGTCTTTTCCAATGAGTCGCTTCCTTGCATCAGGTGGCCAAAGTATTGGAGTTTCATTCTAACAATGATTGCAGTGATAATTTATAGTTACATGACTCATGAAAGAATTTTCCACATGTCAGAAGAATGAGGCCAAGAGCATTTTCAGTTGCAAATAAGGACTCTGAAAATTGTCCCCAACAAGTGCCAATATTGCTACGAACAGAGGTGAAATGATTCCTCCATTAAGATGCCGGCAAGATGGTGCTACCAGTGGAGGAGACCCAAGGAATCGCTTGGAATATTGTTAGAGGAGGGCTTAGGAAAATGGAGAAACTCCAAAGAAATCAAGAAGCAAATGGAAACTTTGCCCTTTTAAAATGCCATGCATAGTCAATTATGCATTTGTGAGTCAATTATGCATTTGTAAGTCAATTACAAAAAAGAAAACAGATGAGTTTTAAGACTTCTTATGTGCAAAGCTGGAGAGGGCTTCAATTTAGGAGAACAATAATTTTAAAAAATGGTTTGGGTCAAATGAGAAGGGAAGGCTTCCAAAATGCCTTCTGGGAATTAAATTAAAAATGAGTAAACTAATTTTATTTGCAGCTTAAATAAAACTCCCCTGAATTGCTTAATGGGCACCTACCTCCTTTAGGTGCATTCTAGAGAAAACCCAATTTGCAATTATAGGCTAAGGAGATTAATGAATCACTACAGTTTATTTGTATTAGAACCAGTGATTAGAAGAATTTTTTTTTTTTAAGTTAGAGTCAAAGTAAGCTAGCTAGAAAAAGTGGTGGTGGTGGTTTAGTTGCTAAGTCATATCCAACTCTTGTGACCCGGTAGACTGTAGCCCGTCAGGCCCCTCTGTCCATGGGATTTTCCAGGCAAGAATGCTGGACTGGGTTGTCATCTTCCCAACCCAGGGATCAAACCCAAGTCTCCTGCATCTCCTGCATTGGCAGGTGACTTTTTTTACCACTAGCACCCACCTGGTAAGTCCCTAAGTTAAGGTTTAGGAGAATGACTGAAGAGTCCTCAGCTAGAAAAAGAGTTGGCACTTAACTTTGGCTTCCCCTGGAGCTGAGTCTGGGACAAGACTCTGAGAGCAGGTGACTTATTTGGGGAGTTAAATTCAGGAAGTAGGAATGAGGGTTCAGAAGAGGATAAGGAAGGAAAGAAGTCTATAGACGTGTGTTACCGAGCTAGGTACCACCTGGGGAATGGCCCCAGTCCCAAAGGGCACCACCCAGAAAGCAGGCAGAGTTAGTCTCAGAACTCCCTTCCATAGACGGGGCTGGACATCAACCCCCAACCCCTGTCCCTGACTAGCTTGCAGCGAGCTACCTCTGGAGATACCAACTCTCCACATTCTAAGCTGTCCTGTACTAGTATGCAACACCCTTAGCTTTGGAAGAGGACTTGACGCTGGTGTGGAGGGTGGGGAGACCACTGGAGCTGGAGCTGAGATCCAGGAGGGGTGAGGGCTCCTGCCACAGGGACACTGAGTGTGTCTGCAGCCTGCTCCAGCTTCATCCATGTCCTTTTCAGTTGTCACTAAGCAGCTATACTGCCTCCTGAGAAGGCAGGGAAGCCAAGAGGATGACAGTGTGATCCACCAAGCACAGCCTCTACCTCCCAGGTGCTTGTAAACCTAACTTAGGAAAAGACCTGGGCCAGTGAAAAACTAGGTAACAAGGCGCTATATTAGTAAAGAATAACTGAGTCCACGTGCAGACTATGGCCCGTAAGCAAATAAAATTGAATATTTGCTAGATTATCCGTTTCCTATGGCTACTGTAACAAGTGACTTCGAATGCTTAAAACAATACAAATTT